AGATTTACAGTTGAAATGAAAGATTTCAATGAAATTGCATTCTCTCTATTGAATGAATGGTTTAATTAGAAAGTTGTTTTTTTTCTTTCTTTCTACTAGTTAATGAAGTTGTCAATATAAACTATCAGATATGTATTCAATAGCTTAAAGATATATTATGCTTTAGGGCAATTTATTAATAACTTCTATTCTAAACTAATCGAGTTAAATTAAGTGTCATAAAACAAAAACACAAACAAAATTCTTACTGAATATTGGAAACTGATTATGATGTGAGCTTAAACTGTTGTCATGACTGTTGTTATGACTTTTGAGTAGTATATATATATATATATATATATATATATATATATATATATATATATATATATATATATATATATATATATATATATATATATATGATCAATCCTTTGAAAAATATTTGCATAATCTAATTAATCTAGAAACAGAGAGGACTAAAATTCTAACATCTAGTTTAAAATTGTTTTTTTGTTGTTGTTGTTGTTTCCAGCTGATTTAAAATAAATTAGAATAGTTTGAATAAACAAATATTTGATCCTGAATTTATATTTATCATGTAACTAAACAAATAATATTAATTAAATATTTTGAAATATATAGACATTTAGATGGTGGTTGGAGGTAGTCAACAGGAAACCATGGACCAGGGTTTCATACTACTTGGCACTCGTCAGCAAGGTGTACCTGTAATCTTGAGCGAACTGGTGCTCCCTGGCGAATTCGATTTCGTGTCACGCAGCTTCACAGTCAGAGACGTTACCACTGAGCTATCCGAGCCGTAACTAACCTCCTGTAGGACTGAGATGTAATCACAATTGATTGATCACTAGGTGGTGATCAATGTCATGCTTGTCTAGTCCTTATTAGTGCAGGAGGTTATTCACAGCTCGGATAGCTCAGTGGTAAGGTCTCTGACTGTGAAGCTGGGTGATTTGAAGTCGAATCTGTCAGGGAGCATCAGTTCCCTGAAGATTACAGGTGTACCTTGCTGATGAGTGCCAAGTAGCACGAAGCCCGTGTCCAGGGTTTCTTGTTGACTACTTCCAACCACCATCTAAATCTCAATATATAGTGCCCGCAACGTCGAGTCACCTAGACTGGTGGCCACATTGCAATATGATCGATAGCATTCGATCTGCACTAATAAGGACTAGACAAGCATGACATTAATCATCACCCAGTGATCAATCAATTGTTATATATAGACATTAAATATTATTTAAGAATGATCTAAAATGTGTTGTGTTTTTTTTTTGGTGTATGGTCAGAATTCTCAATACAAATGTTCAGACAGTTCTACCGTATGGGTTGGAAAAATTAAAGAATCATCAAAGCCATCAACCAGAAGATACAAGTGTTTATTGACAGTTGTCTATGCAAGACACTATCAATATCAACCTATTGTGGAAGAGAACAAACCAGATTCCAGTAGAGGAAGAAATCAAGAAGAAGTGCTCGAATTGGATAGGTCATACATTGAGGAAAGCACCTAACTGCGTCACGAGGCAAGTCCTCACTTGGAATCCTCAAGCTTAATGGAGGAGAGTAAAAAAAAAGAACATATTACACCGAGAAATGTTGACATACATGAGAAGAATGAACAAGGATTGGATAGAACTAGAAAGGACGGCCCAGGACATATTGGGTTTGAGAATGGTGGTCGGCGGCCTATGCTCCATTGGGAGTAAGTATGTAATTTGAATATTAAATAAGAAAGATTAGTTCAACAGATGGTTCTCTTTTCGGCAAATTCATTTTCAAAGCTGTACAATCGCAAATATATATACTTCTTTACAGGATGACATTAATTATAATAATAATACTGATAATAAACTTCTGTTAGACATGGTGACAGCGAGGTAAAATAAATTAAATTATTTAAAAAAAGTTTTAAACAAGGGAAAATTAATAATCGTTTGATTGGTAATGGCCTAAGTATTCATCAAAATATAGATAGGGATATTATCATTGGGAAAGGATGACTCAGCATGATTAAACAAAATGTTGAAATTGAGATTAACTGTAATCTGGAGGATCGTAAAAACAGAAATAAACCAGTTGGGGGTAGGAAGTTTAAGGGGAAGACGAAAGGTAAAGCAAATGGCTGTAAGGGAAGAAAAGGAAGAAAAAAATTTACATGACATTAAGACCATGGTAGAAGAAGAGGTTGTACCAATATCTTTTGCATACAGAATTCTGGTTTTTTCCAGATGTATGACTATTGCGTCAGCAATGCAAAGAAGATGAAATCTAATTGTCTTTGGAAAGATTCTACCTACCTTGTAGATAACTTTGAACGCGGAGTCTATATTGATTGAGCCGTTTTATACTCTTCTTAGCCACGCCGGAGTATGTTATTGAATTCCTTAGGATAAAGTATGCATCGAACGACCTATATATCTAGCTCCACATGAGCAGGTAAATTGGTAAACGCACACTGACTTAGTAAGATGAGATAATTTATCCTTAGGATTATTGATGAACAATGGTCGACTGTAAAATACTGTTCGCAACGTTGCTGCGAAGAGTGTTCTTTTTGAAGAACCAGAAATTCTCCTCTTTAAGAAGTATGTCGCTGTCACCCTTAAAGTCAAGAATCATGTATAATGTTTTCTTTTCTGCTGATTTTATTTATGTTCTCGATGGCTTCGCTTTTGTTCTTATCAGTGAATATCGAAAGATACCCGTTTTCTAAAAGTATCTCCTTCAAAAAGTCCAATTCTTCATCTATGACTTCGTGGCTACAGATTCTTCGTATCATGGACGGATTCTAGCCAATAACCACAAAGCATAGAACAGTTGCTTCGTCTCTGTATGGGACTTCTAGCCTTGATTACTTATGACCATGTTAGAAATTGAGTAAAGTAGCCATTTGAATCTTAGCAACACTTATTTTTCCTTCTCAATATTCATTTGTTATCTAATGAATTGCATTTCAAATTTTAGTCAATTCATAGTTTTTCTTGGCCGTCATTCATTATGACAGACAGGTCTGTCTTATTGATTCGTAATCCTTAAAATTACCTATTCTTAATAGTAAATGAAGGTGAATAAAAAGCCATTTTAATTATCCTGATAGTATGGTATAGTTTATTTGATAAATTAGGACTGAATTAGTATAATGACTCATTTATAGTCAGTATTTCTGGAGTATTGAACATATTGCTACTCATATGATAGAGGTTATAAGTGATGGGAAATGAGATAATTTATTATCACTGATAGTATTTATCTGTTAACGTTCACGATCATCCCATATTATACTGTAACGTCTGTATCCTGTTAGATAACTAACAGCACTTGTTCTATATTGAGTATTTTCGGTAAAGGATTGATACAGATTTACGTTTTGAGCCCTGGTATTTTCGATTCAATCACAGTTATCATGGGATCATAATGACAGAAAATATTTGTCGGCTAATTTATGTTAAAACATTCTGTTCAAGTCTATCGTATATTGTCTAAGTATAAATAAATATTGCCGACAACTCAGGATAAAGTAGAATAAATGGATGCTTAGATAAAGATTCTGTCGCTTGCACCTAGGAGGTAAGCGCCTTTAGCTCGACTTTGTATCAAGACTAGAAATCCGCATCATTATGAAGTCCCTAGTTTGGGGAAGAAAGTGATTTTTATTATATCGATCTGGAGTGAGGTATCTATTCATCAGCCAAATACAACGGCTGTCATATTATGCTGGTAGTCGATTAAAATTACAAAACATGAATCACTTGATTTACAGGTGCCATGACGTGTAATAAACTTTAAAGTCCTAGTTTCAGTCTCTTGAAAAATCATGAGTTCACACTACTAATAATTCCTGAACGTGGACAAAGTATTATAAACAAAGATGGATAGTGGTTAGCAGTGAAATCCATGACGCACGTTTCACCCTATTTCGGACTCGTCAGCTGAACGTACCTGCATTTCAAAGTTGATGTTCACTTTTAGACTCGAACCTAATAAGAGACTGATCAATTACAGTTCTAAATATCAATAAGAAGATCCAAATAAACAATACCAAGTGGATGAAGTAATTTTCCAAGGCTTTCTTATTCTGTATAATTCACCAATCAGTCAGTTAGTCAATGAACAAGAGTTTATTTTAATTTTTGCCCCCAAATGCCCTGGTTCGGCCGAGAGTGGGAAGAGTCCTGCTCTCCCTTCCGAAATGTTCTCACATGCCCATGCGTATATGCTCTCTGTCAGGGAAGACCTACTCTCTGTCTTCTGGTGGCGGGGGTGTTGTTTACAAAATTGATAAAACGTAAAGCGAAACTCCGGCGCTTTAACCAGGTCAGTAGGCACGAAGAGTCCACCTAGTGGAGTTGGATAACCCTGATTTTAAACCAATGGTGTACATGGGCTACATTATCCTGAAAGAACAAATGGCGTATAAACTAATCGTTGGTCACCGGCTACCATGAGACCACATCTTCTTAAGATGCTCCATTGTCTTGTGGTTCAGACCTTTAGGTCGAGAGCTCCGGATGTGATCCCCGAAAAAAACCACCGGCACAGTATCACAGCTCTCACACAAATCAAATGAGATTTATGTGGTGCATATGTATCTGGTGCCCACTTGTACCAATATTTATGTGCTGAAATAAAAAAAATGTTAGACACTATCACCACTGGATTCCGGCTCAGTGGTCCAGTAGGTTAAGCATTCGCGCGTGAGACCGAAGGCCCTGGGTTCAAATCCCGCGAGCAAGATCGTGGATCCGCACTGTTGAGGAGTCCTACAATAGGACGAAACGGCCGTCCAGTGCTTCTAAGTTTCGAAAGGTGGTCTAACATCAATCGGTTCATAATCTCAATCAAAATAGTTAAATATCTTAATCTACACTGCATTTTCAATATAGAAAGACTAGAGTTAGAGATATATGTATATTTATATATGTATTATTATACTTTGAATGAATTTCCTCTTTCTCTCTCTCTCTAAAAATAATAATACTAAATAAAAATTTTATTTGATTATTTTAGTTTCATATTAAAAACTAAAGGAAACATAAAATCAAATACTATTTATGATCAATTATAGGAACATAATTTTTTTTTTAAAAAAGAAGGAACAAAATGAATTACAAAGATAAAATAATAAATGAGAAGAATCAATGTAAAGTAATAACAATAACACATATGAATAGTATGAATCGAATATGATAAGTTTTGATAAAGATATACTACTGTTACTACTACTACTACTAATTAAAATGATAATTGAACTGGTTTAGAAAAAGAATTGATCCATTTTATAACAATTTTATATTATGGTTATTTTCCAGTTTACATTATTATTCTATATATCCCTTACTGTAATGAATATTTAACTAAAGCATAACTTTTTTAAAAAAAAAAGGTTATTTACTTTTTAATATTTTGTCATGGTGTTATGTCCTGTTGTGTGCACCAAATACAAGTTGAACGGTACTTAAAATAGTAATGATAGTAATATATATATATAAGTAGTACAATTACTAGTCTTAAAAATACAGTATACAATGTTACAGTACATCTTCTTCTTTTTTTTTATCCCATAATGGTTATAAACAAACATGTATATGTATTTATAAATGTGCACAAATAAACTATAAAGAAACAAATATATACCATTTGAATTATTTAGCGTGCAAAGCCAAGAAAAATCAATCATCAGGTCACTTTTTCATTCGAGAAAAAGTAAATCATACACTTGAACACATTTAAATGAAAATAAGAATAATAATAATATAACAAACTGATTATTATTATTATTATTAAGATTGATTGTTTTTCTTTATGTTGTATTCTCTTCAGGGACTTGTTGTGAAAGTCGACTAACAAAATGTGTTTTACCCAATGGTCGATCATAATCTTCCATTGACATTCGACGATTTAATTGCATTGGTGTTTTTTGTAATTTTAAATTGCTTACTAAATAAAATAAAATGAAAATAACATTAGTTGATTAGTTGAAAAGTGATGATTATTTAACAATTAAGGTTATGTAAAGTGAGTAAATCTTATGAATAGAACATATGAAAGAAAGAAATGCACAAGTTCTCTAGTTATTACTCTTTTTCAAACGATAAATATTTGTCATAACAGTAATGATACAATTTCGATAGGTAAATGACCCGATTTATGGTATATTTCTATGCCAATACATAGGGTTTGTGAAGACTGTTGGTTAGTTCTAAACCTGAAGGTTTCGGGTCCGATTAGCAGTAAGGTCGTTAATGAGCCCTATTCTGGGGTTAGATGATTCTCTAATAGTTGTCTAACTAAGGTCAGTTCATGATAAAAACTAGCTTATATTTATGCACACCATTCAACTCGTTTGATAAATAAATAAGATCATAATGTCCAAACTGTAGAATTTGCTTCACTTTTGCAATAGTCACGGTAACTTTTGTTTCGTTTTAGTGTTTAAGTCAATAACATTTATGATAAATCATATCAGATAGGTTGTGTCACTTACAAATAATACAAACCGCGAATTTGGTTTGAAAATAATCTCACTTTAGGTAATGACATATATAAATGAAACAACAATAAACTAACGACCAAATCAGTGGTATATTTCCAGATATTAGCCAAAAGTTTCGATTCGACAATTTGTGAAGACTATTAAAGACTTCGCACTGAGATTTAATTACAACTTCTTTTATGACTTACATTAAGTTCTTCTAGTCTCTTAATCTGCATATTACCTTTAAGTCACTTGGACAGGGTTCAAACAGAGTCTATTTTTACAATATTATGGAGCATTTATTTAGCATAATTGTTGATATCTATCTCACCCGCTAATATGATTGTAGGAACAAAAATTTTCCGGATCTCTGTGATGTTAATTCACAGAGAAATTTGAATGATTAAAACGTATCCATTTCATTAGCAACAAGAAGGTCTATACTTCCCAATATGGTACAGATAAACAGTATTTTTATCTTCTTTTCATTAGCCTTTTTTCATCCTGCACGATTACTATACAACACATCAAGTGTTATGAAGTTAATCACTAACAGCTGACATGGATACCTATTACTAAATGGTTTGAATTATCTGACGTTCAAACATAATTCACATAATGTCGAGTCACTTAAACTAACATGCACATTACAGCTTGATGAATAGAATTTGATAAGGACTACGATCTAAATAGTTGTGAAGTTGGTTTCTACTCGGCAATTACTTAGCAAAATTATCTGGTTATGTTATAAGTGAATTTTCACTTCAGTCACTTCAGTTTATCTTTATTCGTAAATTTAGAATTCTAGGCAAAACTAAACTGTAATAAAATGGCTATGAAGAGAAAATCATTACAGTATCCACACATGGCAACAAAGGTTGATCATATTGATACTTGAATGATAATAGAGATATATATTAAACTCTTGCTAATAACGATGGGAAAATTATTAAAAATGAATGAACCATGAATGACTGTTTCGCTTTAATTTAAAACTCCTTATCGATTAGCATCTGGAGTCTTAAGAGATATTATGATTAGGATATTTAGCTCTTTAGTTGAGGACGATACTAATTAAATCCGTGAGTCACGACAGAAAAGACAGGTGTATGTCAGTTCAATTTGTATAAAATTGTTCACAACTTTCCAACATCCAGTATTTACTACCGAAATTTCTAAGTTTAAATAAAAACAATTATCGACTTTCTATATTCCCGTATAGTTAAACTCTGGATTTATCTACCTTATCGAGACACATCTACATATTTATTTATGTATGTGACTTACATAATCCGATTCCTTGTAAAAAGTATTGCATACTGTCGACCACCTTATCCGGCTAAAGTTTTCAACGTAAACAGAAAGAAAAAGTCAGAAAAAAAATGATTGCATCTATGTATAACTCTAAAAACTTAGTAGTCAATACGTTTATATATATATATATATATATATATATATATATATATATATATATATATATATATATATATATATATATATATATATATATATATATATATATATATATATATATATCAAATGACTAGATGCATTTTGTTATTAGCTTTCAAGTATTTACAGTCACTTATATACATATATAGGCTAAGAGGTTGAATTTGTCCGTTTCTTTTAATTCATTTCTCTCAAACAATTTGAACAGGTGAAAAGACAATAATGTTTTCAGAATACTAGATATTTCATAGTTTTCTTCCCCATTGAAAGCTTGTAGTATTTTTTTCTTTCTATTTATTAACGACTTATCGTCGACCAGATGTACCTGCTCTGTAGTACTTTTGTTCATACTGTAGCTTAAAACCAGTGCCTAACAAAATGGAATGTACTTTTCTCGATGACATAACAAGTCGCACTCTAAAAATACACAAGCATTTTATTCATGTTTCGAATAAATATAGTGTATACTGAATTACAAGAACTACCTTTTATATTAGGCGCATTCACCAATGTAAAACTTTATCACCTTCCAGTTGTTTAATAGTAAAAATACATTAAAATATTTGAATTATCAATTTAACAGTTCTATATTATTAAAGAATAAATAAATATATTATTTACTTGAATAATCAATAAATATTACTGATACATATAGACTTACTCTTTCAGTCAGTACATTTGATACATCATCAATCATTACAAATTCACTTGAAGCTGATTGACCACCAGAATCACGACGTATTTTTTCAAGATCTTCAAATAATTGACGACATTTTTTATGATGTGAAGCTAAAGCTCCTGTGATCAATAATACAGGACATCTGTAATATGAAACATTAAAATGAACATTGAAACAAACTTATAGAAAAATGAGCGTACTTTTTTTTTAAAAAGTATAGTCATGTGATTTTATTAGTTCTAACAATAGAGTGATAAATAGAGAGAAAACTTTGAAATGTAGATAACCGTATATCGCAATGAAGATAATATACATAAATCGGTTACTTAATTCCTAGTTAACTGGAATGATTAAAAGTTGCTAATAAGACAGGAACTGACCAGTTGTAATTCAGTCAAGATCAAAATAACAACAAATCGTATTATACATTTATTTCTTTCAGTGGTTTATTCTTATTATATTAACTTCAACAATGAGCACAAGAAAATGTCTCCAACGTTATTAAGTGATAGAAGCTGTACCAGTGGCGTAATAATCTGATATTCGTCATAATATCTAAAGGATCTGGATTTGACTATGGGTGGGGTCAGTGGTTCTCAGTAAATTCTAGACTAGGATAAAACAGCTATCCATTCAGTCAGTTAGCAATAACGTAGAACTTCGTAAGTACGTAAATCGGTTCATTTTGCCTTGCTATCCAATGGTTTCTGGTTTTTAGGAGGACCTTAACTGTTATAACTTGTCGGTTGAATGCTACTTGTTAAATCTAGTCGTCGTTGATTGTTGTGTTGGAAACGCTTATCACTTATGCTCGAAACCAGGGACCTCGGCGCTTCTCACGACGCGAAAGTAAGAACACAAAGACTGTTATAAGTGAAAGATTTATTGACCCCAAAAACACGACGACGACGACCCTAGTCGAAAATACATTCATTTATATATTGATTGTACATACACTTTGATTAATAATTAGGATGAAATCAAATATATAAAAAATACACAGTTATGACAAATCAAATGCTGAGCATAGTTCATGTCAATTGAATACAAGAACATCTGATGTTGTATAGAATATGATACCATACGGGAAAACAAAACAAATACTACACTGAATGATTATCACATTGATTCAGAACGGAAGGAATGTTGAACAAAACTCATATTTAGTAAATCAATTGAATTTTGACTTTCTTGTCCTTGGTTTTTAGTAGGACCCTAACATAACGTGTTTAATATATTTTTCATGATAATATCATGATATGTATTAATTTTAAGAATGTTGTAATTCACTTTTGGAATATTCTCATTGAAACCTACTTTCATCATATTATATTCTCAAGTAGTCAAATATGTATACACGAGTGGATAATAAAGACTTTAAAATTATGACAAAGTTGGCGAGACTATAAATTATGGAAAAACAAATCAGATCTAAAATAACAGATCTTGGATTTTGGAGCGAAATTCATTCACCCATTCGTCTAAATAACGTCTTGGTATTTTAGCTGATGTCAGTTCGTGATGAAAACCATAAATCTAAATTCTAACCCTTACCATCAACTGTAAATCATTATCTTTATTCCTCATACTGTTTTACAACTTTCATTTATCCCTATTACGTAGGTAGACACTTTCACGGTGACTTTGGCGTCACTCGAACGTCATCCATAAATTACAGTCTCATCACAAAGTTTACTATAATGTCACCGAATTCTCAACTAAACAATTCAATTTTATAGCTTATATTGATATTTTAAAATTATCTAATAAATAGGATTTTCAATAGTTGAAATCATGAGTCAATTGAAGCTAGATCACCATGGAAAACCTGGAAGCACTGGAAGGCCGTTTCAACCTAGTATGGGACTCCTCGGCTGTGCGCATCCATGATCCCGCCACCCGCGAGATTCAAACCCAGAACTTATCAATCTCGCGGTCGAGCGCTTAAGCACTAGACCACTGGGCTGGCCGACAACAAACGGCACACTATTGTCTTCAGTGAGCTGATATCTCACAACAGACCAGGTTGAACTCCACTCGTTACAGCTTCTCACTAGAACTCCAGGAAATGACTCTTGAAGCCAGTCACTAGTGAGCAGACGATTATTATCGGAGGGGGTTTTGTGGAGATTTTAGTAATTTCAGTAGTGGATACGCACTGCTGAGGAGTTCCATACTAGGATGAAACGGCCATCAAGTGCTCTCAAGTATTCCATGATGGTCTAGCTTCAACTAACTCATGATTTCAACTATTGAAATTACTAAAATCTTCACTAAACCCCTTTTGAAAATAGAATTTTAACATAATGAATGAACTAATTATTCGATATATTAGTTCACTTCTAAAATTATTAATTAATATACCCTAAGGTTAACCTTTAATACAATATATAATTAAGCGGCTGCTAATAGGATTATAAAGAATCATTTATTTAATCAAATTTCGAAAATAAATAAAATTAGTAAGATCAGTGTCGCAATATCAGTTAAATGAATTTGAAAAGATAAACCAACTGCTTAGAGAATTAAAAATTTGAATATAAATTAGGTAATTTAAGTAACCAATTATTTTTCAACAGTTGATATCATGAGTCAACTGAAGCTAGACCAACATGCAAAACCCGGAGGCAATGGACAGCCATTTCAACCTAGTATTGGACTCTTCAGTAGTGCGCATCCACGATCTCGCCCCTCCGTGCGAGATTCGAACCCAGGACCTATCAGTCTGACTCCAGGTGCTTAACCAACTAGACACTGAACTGGACAGCATCCGACGGTGTTGATGTCTAACTTACACTAATTCACGAAATTGAACGACACATCCACCATTGTCATCAGTGAGTTACTATCTCACAACAGACCCGGTTGAACTCCACTGGTTACTGCTTCTCACTAGAACTCCAGGATAAACCTCTTGAAGCCAGTCACTAGTGAGCATATTTTGATTGATATCAGAAGGGGTTTTGTGGAGATTGTAGTTGTGAGATAGTAACTCACTGAAGACATTGGTGGACGGTGGCGCAATGTTCATGATATATTATGGTGTGGGTTACTTATATCCACATAAGTAGTATATAACGGTGGTCAAGCATAAAAAGTATTTCAGTAGAAGATCGATACGGAAAGAACGAGAACGGAACGCAATTGACATAAAATGCATGAACTATGAAATCTGAGACAATGGACTGATATTTACAACAGGAACAGTCATGGTTGATATGATGGATTGATATTTTGCAAATTAATGATTTACTATATGGTTCTTAGATTTTATTGAGATGCTTTGTAATTTCGCGTCGAAGGCATTCAGTTGTCTTCACTCGTGTTCTTGTTCACTATTATATGTCCGATTGGTTAGAGTCTCAAATATTTGTCTCCGGTTATCAATATAATGGTCTAATGCTTAAGAACTTACTGAAGGGACTAAGTTTGATCACTAGCGAGACTGTAAGTGTCCGCTCCTAAAGAGATCTACAGTTGGATGACATAGTTGATCAGTATCCCTGTTTTTCAGTGGTTTTTAAATTGGATATCATTCATCCATCTTTTTGCCGAGTATCGTACGCTAAGGTATTTATTTTCTCCTTGTATTGTTTATAAATAATTCACCGGTTTTAAAGGAGTCACATTATAATTTACCAACTGGTTTACTGACATCAGATTATAAGTAAAATTTAGGATACAAACAGATATCACTGCAATATTTCATAACAGTTTACCTTTCTATTGAGTCTACGTGCTTTCAAGTATAACTTGAATAGGAAATCAATTGATAAATGAAAGGATTTCACGAATGATTATATATAGCAATTTCGCAAGTACGTTAACACAAATATAAGTAACATATGCACACAATATGTTAGGTTATGAAACAACAAATATAGTTTCCTGCATGTGATATTTTATATTATAGATACACATTATAAAGTACTTACTTTAGACTGGGAAGACTTTCTGAAAGGTTTTTACGCCTGTAAATAGATAATGATCATCATAGAACATTAGTGATTCATAGGAGAAAAATGTTGCGTAATTATAAATATTGATAAGAAATCATGACAAAGAAATATGCTTCATATAATAACCTATCACTCAATCTGTGGATTGGTTTGCCATTGTGATTATCTCAAGATTCCTCATATATCTTGTTGATAAATGTCTACAAAGAGGAATCATCAATCAACTAATAGCATTCAAACAATCACTTAAACAACAAACATCTCAGCTCTGTGTTAGGTTTGAATTACTAATGAATTATGAAACTTTCCAGGCCTTTAAATTACAATGGATATTTGATACCATTGGTGAAGACGATGTATGGTGGCTACATTGTAACTTGGTCGATTGGATTCGATCTACACTAATAAGGACTTTACACACATAACATTAATCACCGCTTAGTGATCAATCCATTGTAAATATATATCAGTCCTACAGGAGGTTTGTCGTGGGCCGAATAGCTCAGTGGTAACGTCTCTGCCTGTGAAGCTGGGTGATTTGAGGTCGAATCCGTCAGGGAGCATCAGTTCCCTGAAGATTACAAGTGTACCTTGATGATGAGTGCCAAGTAGCACGAAACCTAAGTCCTGGGTTTCATGTTGACTACCTTCAACCACCATCTTAGTATGCGTATTCATTCACATGACAATAAAGGATTCTTCTACTCTATAACTAAACTATATACTTAATTTTAAATCAAAAGTTCAAATTGGGCTCTAATTCAAACTCTAATTTCCAAAAATTCTGATTGAATAGAAATGAGCTTTATTATTTTATTTTTATGAATAGCTGTTTGTTATCAGTAAAGTAAACTTTCATTGATTAAATATGTATGGCAGATTGAAAAGTTACAATCAAATGGAATAAATAAATAACTTTTAAATGGGTGTATAAAAGAAAAGAATCATATAATAATTAACATTTTTAAATTGTTCGATTGTCTTTTATCAAAGTAAAGAAGAAGATAAACATTTGGTTACCATGGTTGCCACCAACTAATAATTAGGTTTGGATGAATTAAATTAACGAAAGTATCTTGACATAGAATAACTATGAATTGTTTCAAATTCAATTTAATTAAATAATTTTGAATATAAATTTCTTTTTATATGTAAGCGATTTTTCAAAAAATTCGATCAGGAAGATCTGGCTTTTCAATAATTATACAGGATTATTTTTGTAATAGGACAGTTAGTCATTTAATACAGAATAATGTAGATTGGATCAGAGCGCACTTCTGAGGAGTCCCAAACTAGGATAAAACGGTCATCCGGTGCTATCAGGTTTTCCTTGGTTGTCTAGCTTCAAATGACTCATGAATTCAACCATTAAACTATTATAATATCCACAAAATCCCTCTCTGATTATAATAATTAAATCCTCACTAGTGACGGTCTCCAAGAGGTTTTTGTGAAGTTCTACTGAGAAGCCATAATCAGTGGGGTTTACCCGGGTCTGTAATAACTCACTGATAACAATGGTGGATGTGTCGCTCAATTCGTTGGATTATTTGAAGTTATTCATTAACACCGTTGGATGCCGGCCATTTCAGTGTCAAGTTGGTTAAGCACCTGGAGCGAGACTGATAGGTCCTGGGTTTGAATCTCGCTGGGAGGAGCGGGATCGTGGATGCGCACTTCTGAGAAGTCCCATACTAGGTTGAAATGGCTGTCCATTGCTTCCAGGTTTTCCATAGTGGTCTAGTTTCAATCGGCTCAGAAATTCAACCATTAAATTACTATAAAATCCACAAAATCCCAAACTGATTACTTTAAATATGATAACAGTTTTCAGTTACTAATTGACTTAGGTAGGGGAATGAGTGAAAACGACAGAGAATTGAGGTGTTTTCAATGGGATATAATTTGAAAATGTGTTTGAAATATGTTCCTTATCGTTATTAATGAAACAAACAAATTGTCATTAATGTAACCAAGTTTTTAATCAAAAGTTTAATATGCTCTATGTGATCACTTTTCTGGAAGTAATGGAACCGGTAAACAAATCACTTTGCTTGTTAATTACTTCAGCCAATATTTTGTACAGTGATGAATACATTTATGTTTACCGAAATCACCTTATATACTGAATGGTTCCAAATAGGATTCTTAATCGTTTTGGCTCAAAGAAGTCATTAAACTACCACTTTTAAGCCAGTAATTTATCAACTAAATTTTGTCACTAAATGAATGAACAAACTGGATAAATGTCTTTATTTTCTGTCTTTTATTATTTTAAATGAGTACTTAGATTAACTTAAAGTTATAGATGACTCAAACACATTATTTCCATTCCATAAACATCTGGTTATTCCTTCTAGTATCTAAAAGAATAAAAGTGTGCTAAACTTAAAAATTCCTAATTCCATAAAGACTTTATTATGATGAATTGACTGATTATACATAAAGCTTAATAGGTAGGAAGAAAAATTACTAACTACACCTTAACATATTTGTTAGTAATAGATTTAAAATCTGTGCATTATGGTACAGAAACTATAAACGTTTGCAGACTCATTGTAAAACAATCTACCAGGGAAAATCACGAAAACCAGTCTTATCAATATGTTATTAATCTGGATGTTGATTAATTTCATTACTGTCATAAATAATTATCTGTTATTTTTCATTTGTCAGGTAAGTTCCATTCTCTCGTGTTTTACTTCATTTTCAATAGGTACTTGAATAATTAACGATTGGTTTCTAAAAAGATCACAGGGACTTTAACGTTTACGTTAAATTTTTTTTGAACTTTCGGACACAGTTTATTCTTTTTTGGGTTATCAACAGTGCTCATATAATTTTCCTTATTAAGTGCACATTGTTAACTTTGAACATTTTTATATATGAGTATGTATTTGTATGTGTATGTGGATTACTGGTCATCTATATATTTAACTGTATTTGATATATTCTTTATGTGATATAAAAGCGAACTCATACATAACTCTTTTATTGGCTAATAATGGTCAAATATCACACAACGAACATCTGTTCATATTTGCGATCTATTTACTTGCATAAGAAAGCCTGAAATAAGCTCTTCTATAACGTTTCTTATTTGGTTTTTATGACCACTGTTTCACAATAGGGTAAACCCAGTTCATTATATACAAAACTAAATGAGGGATTTATATTTCATTCATCATCATTGGGATTACTCGAGTCAATGCGAATGCCAATAATACGTAAAGGTTTGATATATTCCAATTAGATAATAATAACCTTAGTAGGAATATGTTCCATTGAACTGAAGTAAAGTTCTAATCAGAGACATTATAAGATTTTTATTCAGAAAAATTAATCTTCAGAAACTGAGAGGTAGACTATGATCTAGAGTTTGCACTCTAAATTATACTTCATCGGTACATGTTTGTAAATTTAAGAGAACTGGTGTTCCTTTGTAAGATTCATATCTTAGTTGATTAGCTTCAGCTAATAATAGTCAATCTCTTATTCTATCTTACAGTTGATCAGATGATGTCAATTCTATGAATATCATAAAATTTGTTATCAGTTTTAATTACAAAACAAGTTAAAGCTTCTTTTGAATTATTAAACTACCATGTTGACTGGTCAGGTTTCTTTTTTGTTTATTTAAATACTAATGATAAATAGTTTTAGAGAAATAATTTCTTTGATGTAATAATTAAATTTATTAACTATTACATAAAATGTTTCATTTGTAAACTTTACGGTCAATGAATAATCCATATTCTGTACGAAATATTTGATCAGTTCATTTATTATAGAACTTTTGTTGTTGATAATAATAAATAGGTGAGACTATAATTTATGGACGACCTCTGGGAGACGCTAAGAAAATTTTATGAATGTCCATCTACATTACTCACTTACGCCTGTTACTCCTCGTAGAGGAGCATAGGCCGACAACCTGCACTCTCCAGCAATCCTGTCCTGGGAAATCCTTTCCAGCTCCTCCTAATCTTTATTCATCCTTATCACTGTTAGGGATGCAGAGGAATATACCAGTAATTATCGTGTTATGTCTAATGGTGTCCTTGGACGTTAAATGGACACTCCCTATTGGTCGATATTCACTTCACTTGTTAAATATTGTACAAATATTGTTTTTTATTTTATGGTACGATGTTGTTTGTTTGTTTGGTATATAAATATAGTATGTCTGAAATATAATGATTCATATCTCAGAGGCTGTGACTTGCGTTCTGGACTCAACTGGCTGGGCTAGACAGGGAAGCAGGGCCAATCGGGACTCTAAGTCGTTCATTACGTGTTTACGTGTCACTGAATCGATCAATAAAACGCTGAGTACCTAACCTGCAGTCCACCCGTTACAACAATCACATCTGATCCTATATCCTTACGTCGTGCATTCTTTGGTCTTCTTCTTTTCCTCTTCCCTTCAGGATTCCAAGTTAGCGCTTGCATCGTGATGCAGTTTGATGATTTGCGTAATGTATGTTCTACCCATTTCCATCGTCATTACCTAATTTCCTCTTCAGCTGGAAACTGGTTTGTTCTCTCCCACAGAAGGCTGTTACTGATGGTAACCGACCAATAGACATTGAGTATCTTGCGTAGACAACCATTTATAAATAATTGTACCTTCTTGATGGTGGTTGAAGTAGTTCTCCAAGTTTCAGCTCCGTATAGTAGAAATGCCTTGACGTTCCTGTTGAAGATTCTGACTTTGATATTGGTTGAAAGTTATTTTGAGTTGTATATGTTCTTCAACTGAAGGAATGCGGCCCTTTCTTTGCCAATCCTCGTCTTTACATATGCATTTGAACCTCCTTGTTCATTGATGATGCTTCCCAGGTACGTGGAGGATTTCACACCTTCCAGAGTTTCTCCGTCAAGTGTGATTGGGTTGGTATTCTCCGTGTTGCATTTAAGGATCTTGCCTTTTCGTCCATCTACATACTACGGCTAAATGAAGGTTATAATCCAGTGTAAGGAATTAGGATTAATATTTACAGTTGATAGTTAAGGTTAGAAATCATATATAGGGTTCTCATCACGAATTAACATCATCTGTAATGCTAAAACTCTATTTAGCAAAAGGGGAAGTGAATTTCGTGCCAAAATTCAAGACCTATTATCACAAATCTGATTGGTTCGTCCATAAATTTTAGTCTCGCCAATAATAAACAATAATCAAATATGTAGTTGATTAAATAGATTTATTGTAAATGATAACAGAAAATTATTTTGATGATTCGTTTCAATCATATCTAATATCCTTTTCTTTCCATATCACCATAGGATAGATGAAAACTATTCATTCGCTTTATCTCATACATAATGTAATCATGAATCTAATTTTATTTAATAGAATAAATAGTAATTAATTTACCATGCAAAGTAATTATGATATATTGTACTAACTTCATGAATATAACTAGTTTATGATGAAATGAAGAGAGAAAAAGACTGAAGATATAATGTAGAATCTTTTTTTTTTAAATAACGTTGATACAAGCTAGAATATTCCCTAAACGAAAATAGAGAAGAACTCTATCAAATATATGACAATAAAATGATCATAATTTCAAATATAACATTCAAGGTGAGGCTGACAATCAGATATATCATCATACTTAGTGACATAATTTGTGTGAATGTTTTTGACTGGTCATCTCCCCGAGGTAATTTTTTTGAAAATTGTAAACAGTGATTTGTATTATTTCTATGTGTCTCACATAAATTATTTATTCATGTGAGATAAGGAATAAAATTTAACAAACTAGTTCACTGATTTCATGATTTTAAATTAAGAAGTTTCTAACTGTATACCTATTGATTCCAGAATGAACTATATTGAACAAGTATATATATCAGAGATGGTTTTGTGGAGATTTTAGTTATTTTAATAGTTGATATCATGAATCAATTGAAGCTAGACCACCATGGAATACCTGGAAGCACTGGAAGCAGTAGTCAGTGGAGTTCAACCAGGTCTGTTGTGAGATAGTAACTCACTAATGAGAATGATGGATGTGTCACTCAATTTGGTGGATTAGTTGAAGTTGGACATTAACACCGTCAGATGCCGTCTCAGTTGTCTAACGGTTAAGCGCTCACGCGCGACACTGAAAAATCCTGGGTTCGAATCTCGCGGGGAGGGGCGGGATCGTGAATGCACACTTCTGAGAAGTCCCATAATAGGATTAAACGGCCATCCGGTACTTCCAGGTTTTCCATGGTGGTCTAGCTTCAACTGACTCATGATCCTAACTATTAAAAAGTATTATATATATATATACAAAATGGAGTAAGATAAATCTGAGGACAATTAAAATTTTATAAAACAAAACTTACTGCATATATGATGTGATAAATTTGTTTAAATTTTTCGGATTAATTGAATGACGCAAGTTTTGACGAAAACTTTCAACAGCATTGCGTAATTCCACTTCACTCTCAGTTTCAACAACCTAAAAGAAATGAATAAAAAAAGTTTATCACAGTATTAAAAAAGAATGAAAAACAAAATACTTATTCATGATTATTATCTTTTTAGAAGAGCTAACAAGATCATCACATCAGAGGAAGACAAACAAAAAGAACAAACGAATATAGTTAGCATCTTACAACTTAATAATTTTCCTATGAAGATTATTATAGAAGCATATTAAAACAAAACAGTTTATTACATTCTAATAATGATTCGAATGAAATGCCATGGATTGCTACTGTAGTTCTACCATACCGTCATGGCACAACAGAAGAAATCCAAAGAATCTTAAAACATCACAAAATCAAAGTGTATTACAAAACAACGGACACACTACGTAATACTTTAGTTCGCCTGAAAGACAAAATCCCTTTCATGTCCACACAGAACTGCGTCTACAACATAGGTTGTATCGATTGTGATGCCTATTATATTGGAGAGTCATCCCGCAAAATCGTGACTAGAGCCAAAGAACATATTAGGTACACAAAGAAACCTCCTAACAATCCTGTAGAATTGAACCAACTTCAAATTAAATCGGCAATAGCAGTTCATGCCATTTTTAACAACCACCAAATCGATTTTAAAAATATCAAAATATTGCAAAAAGGCTTTTCTAACTACAAAGAAAGGAGGGTAGCTAAAGCGTTCCATATAATGCTTAATCCTACTTCTCTCAATAGAAAGGAAGGTCTTACTATACATCCTACTTGGACCATCTATCCTAACCACTCAGTCTGATCGTATTTACAATTTCACACTATCATATTACAAATTTAAACTCTATCCTTTCTTACCATAAAGGTCACACAAGTTTTCATTCTTAAACAATACAAATATACATACACACAAATTCACATACATATCACTTATGAATCACCTTGACAGAAATGACATGACATCAACTTGTTCAGACTTGTTTTTGATTGATCCAATATTATTCTTGCATTGTTCCGTTGTACTATTTAAACTTGGATTAATTTTAATTTGGTTATTTATTCTCTGAAGAAGTGACTTACACTAAGTCACGAAACGTCAGAAAATCCAATTTTCTACTCATTGGGATATTACAAATATATTATTTTTATTTATAACAATGAACCCAATGCTCAATTTATTTGAAATTATCAAATCAAACCTTGGTAATGACACTTACTTGACATGATTTATGAATAATTTAACTATCTCAATTGGCAAACATTTTAAACTCGAATGTATAATATCATTTTTGTTTAATACACTAAAGCTATAAACTAACAAGTCACTGTTCAAATAGCATCGTTCTTGTCTTTAAACCTTAATATCTTGGATGAATTCTTACTTAAGTCAACATTAATAAGAACGAAAAAGCTATTGTATCTACAATTGATTGATCACTGGGTGGTGGTGATCAATGTCTTGCTTGTCTAGTCCTTATTAGTGCAGATCAAATGCTATCGATCATGTTGCAGTGTGGCCACCAGTCTAGGTGACTCGACACGGCTCGGATAGCTCAGTGGTAACGTCTCTGACTGTGAAGCTAGGTGACACGAGATCGAATACGCCAGGGAGCACCAGTTCCCTCAAGAGTACAGGTACACCTTGCTGACGAGTGCCAAGTAGCACGAAACCCGGGTCCAGGGTTTCCTGTTGACTACCTCCAACCACCATCTAAAGCTATTGTATCAGTTATTATTTTTTATTTCAACTTATGAAGATTTCATATCATTATGAAAAATATTGTATTATTAAAATATTCACATAAATATGATACATGTTTACATGTATCCAGGCTAATGTTGTTTGTTTGTTTGTTTTGCACGAGTTATTAATGACCTAAATGTTTATCAAGAAAAAAAATTTCTATTCCCATTATAGTTCATTGATTCAATGAACTAAATTTGTAATTAGGTTAATGAACTAATTTCATTATTTATTAATATTGAAAAGAGAAATATCAAAAAAAAATTATAAATGAAAGTAAATAAGAGACTAATCTTTGAATGAAGTATATTCTGTCCGATCAATTCTCTTCAGATTCTACACTTTATATATAAATCCAAATTAATAAACCGGAAAATGGTCAGGTTAAGGTTTATGTATATCGTTTAACATTGAAGCATGTGAATTTAGGATTATTAAACAAAATACAATCAAATTATTAATGTTGATATGATTCATATAGAATGTTAAATTGAATTTGCATATATGTTAAATGAATCGTAATTATTTCTCTTATCCTATTTGACCTATATTTATTCTGATCATGAATCTTAAAATTTTCACTTCACATATATGTAGATTCAATTATAAGATTCCATAGGAGTCATATTAACATTAACAATTTTATTGTAATTTGTTTAACAATCCTAAATTCACATGCTTCAACTTTAAACTATTTACTTTAGCCTTGACCTGACCATTTTCCAGTTTATTAATTTGAATATATATATATATATATATATATATATATATATATATATATATATATGAATTGTAGAACTTAAAGAGTATTGATCGAAAAGAATATTCTTTATTCAAAAATTAGTCTTTTTAATATGATAGGGATCTTTAAACGATTAGAAAGTAAATAAATTATAAATCATTTGAAATAATTGTAAATAAGATAATAATAATATCAGAAGGGGTTTGTGGAGATTTTAGAAATTTTCACAGATTTAAATCATGAGTCAGTTGAAGCTAGACCACCATTGAAAACCTGGAAGCACTGGACGGCCGTTTCGTCCTAGTATGGGACTCCTCAGCAGTGCGCATCCACGATCCCGCACCATGCGGGGCTCGAACCCAAGACCTACTAGGACGAAACGGCTGTCCAGTGCTTCCAGGTTTTCAAGGGTGGTCTAGCTTTAACTGACTCATGATTTAAATCTGTGATAATAATAATAATAAATAATTAATTTTAATACTTTTCATTGGTTTTAATGTATCAATATTGACAAAAAATAAACTTTGTTTCAAAGATTGACAGTGTCTTTTCTTTTCTTTAAATTGATATTCTAAACATGGTAATACTAACTTATTATCCATAGTAGTAATCACATTGTGTTTTGTGTACTTTGATAATTTTTTTTTCTTTATTACGGCTTACCTTTAACCTGTCTAGTTGACCTTTTATTTTTATATATAAATGCTCTGAACAAGTATATGTGTGATCAGATTGTTTGAAATGTATTGGGCAAATATATATGACATAATTCTGATAATCTTCGTCTTCTCATTGCATTATCGAGATATAAGGTTATACTTTAGTTAAATATTCCTTTGTGGTACAAAATGTTAATGAATAAATAATGTTTGATCAAAGTATAAATAAGCATTACCAGTAGTTAAGTGTGAATGTTATCTTATTCAAAGACGAGGAGTATACGTACATGAATATTTTCTTTGAAACAACTAAACACTTTTTGATATCTTATCTCCTAAATGACTCTTTGATCAAGTGTAGTATGTCATAATATTTCAACGCACTTGACATGGCAATCAAAACTGAGGTTTAATGTTTTAAAATTTCTGTAATTTAGTACGGTGATATTAGGAACGTATATGTTAGGTTTCTGATTTTGCGACTTGCTATGTGTTGATTTCAAAATATGTTGAAAACATCATCATAATACATGTGTGCGATTTCATTTGAAGAAAATTAGAGCTGAGGGAAATTCTTACGCTATCAGTATGCGAAAAATATCAACAGTCAACATTCTCAATTCCGATTTATGTCGTGATACCATGCAGTTATGACCATTTGTCATGATTGGTATAGTATTATTTTAATACGAGTATTCAGTCAGAACAACGACCATCATCAAGTAGGTGCAAGTATTTATAAATAACTGTCTACGCAAGATACTCAACACCAATTGGCCGGATACTCTCAGCAACCAGCTTCCAGCTGAAGAGGAAATTAGGAAAAGACGATGGAAATGGATAGGGCATACACTACGAAAATCATCAAACTGCATCACAAGACAAGCCCTGACTTGGAATCCTGAAGGGACGCCGAAAAGAGGAAGGCCAAAGGATACATTACGTCGGGAAATAAGAGAAGATATGGAAAGGATGAATAAAGACTGGAAGGAGCTGGAAAGGATTGCCCAGGGTAGGGTTAAATGGCGAATACTGGTGGGTGGCCTATGCTCCTTCACGGGGAGTAACAGGCGTAAGTAAGTAATTCAGTCAGAAGATAGGTGTCTTCATTCGAGAAAATTTTTATTTCTTTAAGTGAGATGCACGTATATTCTTCCAAAGGCTTAAAGTCTTGATAAGTTTAAAAGATAGCTACCAGGTCCGTAATTGACCCCTTATAAAATCTAGTCACTGCTTCATTGACTATGTGAATGACTTTATGTGTCACAAATTGGCTTAGAAACTGTTTCGCAGCTAGTTTCAGTGTTTTCACTGTAATCATTAGTTTTGTATAGATTTTTATATATTTTGGCGGTTCCATATTTAGTTGTGGTTACGACTTTGTGTAAAGCCGTAAGCTTACATGACAAAGTTATTTTGATTTACATAAATAGTATCATATGTATAACTCATTGTTATGAAGTGCTGACTATGAATAGGGTGCTAAACGATGAGATAGATTGTGAAAGTTTTTTCCATAGTTTATATAACCTACTGTTGTCAGATTAGTACCTTCATGGCTTTCGTTGTTCTTTGAGTATAATTCATTTCGTGAAATAAACTATGAATCAACTAACTTCCATAAGCATTCCATTAGTTATTAGCTTAGTAATAAATATCTTATCAAGTTAGAAATAATGTAGTTGTATCCTGATACGTTTTGGTACTATTTATTAGTTAGTTGATTATTGGCAAGTCATTTTCATCAAGAAAAATCATTATATTATACTATTTACATAATTAAATCTCCCCTCTGCTGCAAACAACCCAAACAGGGTGGTAAACAGTTTCTTTGTATTCTATAATCATAAATAATTCACTGTCCCATCTCATTAAGGTTTAAATGGAATTTATCATAATCCAAAGAATTTTATTCTAATTAATTCATTCAAATGTATCAACAAAAGAAAGTTAATTATTTTAAAGTAACTGTTAACAAAAAAAAATTTGACATAAAACTGTACTAATATCTAACTTACCGAACCGAAACGATGTACAATTAGAAAACTTTCAGTGGCTGGATTCATACCAGATGAGCTTAATTTCCAGTTCATTAACTAAACAAAATAGTAAATATTGAAATAGATCCTTATTAAATATATTAAGAGGAAAGAGTACGATCTGTCTTACCTTAAATCATTGCAATATTTATGTATATATTTATTATCGTTTGTTTGAAGTTAGTCAGTATGAAATCTAGGAACTTGATTTATTCAAGTCTTGACGTTTAATTTTTAATATTTTATGACAACATATATAAGCGAACAATATTGTTTTTGATTGGATCGTCATCAGGCTTTAATCTAATATACTGTAATAGAAGGTAATGTCAAGACAATACGCAGTTCAGTTCTATCACACTTGATCTATAGCGGTCATGTAGTGGATAGCAACAAGTTGTTTTAAGTTATTCATCGTATTCCTATTAGTTTCCCCTATGGTGTTCGATCTCGTCTCTTACACATAGCAGAAGCTATAGAAATTCGAGCTAACAATCCAAGTCCTTGTGTCCAGATCAAATTTGTAACACCCTTATCTCTCCCTTGGTTTTGATGAATTTATTTTCCATACTCGTTGTTAGTTTACTTTTCTTCAAACCCTCCCACCTTTTTTTCTTTCTCAAATATACGCTTTACGGTCTAATTATCTGAACACTTCTTATTACGTAATCTTATAATTTTATAAATATTATCTCATTGTCTATATTTTTCTAATCATTGACCTATTTCCTATTATGTTACATTGATTCAAACCTTTATTATTCTTGTGACAACTAGTACACTTGTCATCATACTATCAATTTGTACTTTTCACTTATTATGTAATCGTTTTCATTGTTATCATTGACTCATAAACTACCTTGATTGGTTTAATAATTTCATATATGCATATAAATATTACTGTATATTAAAGTAAAACCTGATAAGGATCTAATCATCTCTAATAAGTATAGATTATTTAGGAAATTTCATACATCTAGTTCACTTTATCATTTTAAAAAGAGAAAGAACAAATTTTCCATTAGAATATCCAAACGGGAACCTGCGAAATAAAATGAATTTTACACTATTCTGTTAGAATCTTTATTCTTGCTCTTTTCAAAATATTGATTAATTATCTATTACAATTAAACAATTCAATCTTTTATTACTTGATTATCAACAAAATTAATAATTAATTATTATTTAAACTCAATCATTTACCCTATTACTTTTTAACTATGATATAACTAATAAATTCGTTCAAGTTAATGTATAGTAACTCCACCTTGAGTCCCGCCGGGTGCTACTACCGATCTCAAGCCCGAATAAAGGAGGAGGGTTGGGCATGCGGTTAGCGACCCTATCTCGTAGAAAACTAACTCGCTAAAAAAAAACTCTAACCAAAATATAATGTATAATGTGATTACATTGACAAAATTTATTGATTGATTACATCATCATGAAATAAGTTTAAATTATAAAAAAGAAGTGTCTATAAATAAAATTCGAATTAATTTCTTGTTTAAAATGTGACTTGTCTATGAATAGAAAAAGAAAAATCTTTTGAATACATTATATCATACATTATTTAAACATTTTTGTTTGTGTTTTCTAGTGTCTGGGGATATACTTCAAGAAGTTTCTATGGTTTTGTTAAACATCTGTTTGATATTTTTGGTTTTATGATGTGATTTTCTGACAATTTTTATACTACTTAAACTATCATGTCATTAGATAAAAACTGATATAATTTTTTCTCAGATATAAACTGGTAGACGGTTGAAAATTTCAACACGTAATCATCAACGTTTATAATGTGTGTGTTTGTGTGGTGGGGGTTCACACCTATTGATGGAATATGAGGTTCATGTGTACTTACAAAATAGTGAAGATTATCAAACATAGACAGAGACTAGTTTCACAGTATTTGGGTGCCGAGTTAATGTGAGACATTAAAGCGAAAGAATGTATTTGTACAATCTCAGCGAATTAATTTTGAAGTAGACTTAATGTTTCGCCTGGCAATTAAGTCCAAGCTTTTTCAAGGATATTTCCTTGAATTTACTTCAAAATTCATTTGCTGAGATTTCACAAATTAAACAGAGACTGTTCTATATTTGTAAATATAGCTTCACTCTTTAGTAATGATCATTTTCAAGATATTCAGGATTTGGACAAAACTAGCGAAACAATAGTCTCTTTTACTTAAATAATGGTTAAGGTATATATTTTCAAAATTAATACAAATCTTGGCAATTCATTCAATAACACTTAGTAGCTCCTAAAATGATAGATATTTATAAAGTATAATAAAGTATATAGTATGGATATTTAGTTTATGAATTACATTTCATCCATATGTATAAAATGATAACTATTATATCATATTTTATCTTTTAGTTGACATTTACTTATTATCTATTAATTGAAACATCTGATGTGTTGATGTTACTAAACTAAAATGAACTGTCTTATTTTTTGTTCAAATAAATATTTTGATAAAATAACCACATGCTTATGCAGTTTGGGAGGTATAAATTGTAGTGATGGTCGTATTTTGATTTTAGAAAAAAAAGGTCGTTAGATAACGAAATTGTCCCTGATCTTAATTTCACAGGTTGAAACCATGAGTCAATTGAAGCTAGACCAGCATAGAACACCTGGAAGCACTGGACGGCCGCTTCGTCCTAGTATGGGGCTCCTCAGCAGTGCGCATCCACGATCGCGCACCACGCGTGGCTCGAACCCAAGACCTACTGACTTCGCGCGCGAGCACTTAACCATTAGATCACTAAGCCAGCATTCAACGGTGTTAATGTCTAACTTCAACCAATCTTAATTTATTTTTGAATCTTTACTGGATTCCATTACTAGCCACCAACTATCTTTGCTTATAATGTCCTTGATCTGTTTGTACATTTAAAACAATTATTCTTTTTGAAGAATTTCGATAATGCAATGAGAAGATGAAAATTATCAGAATTATGTCACATATATTTGCGTAATATATCTTGAACAATCTGATCACACATATATACTTGTTAAAACAACTTTATATGAAAATTAAGAAGTCAACAAGACGGATTAAAGAAAAACTGTAACAAGGAAAATAATAATATTCAAGTAAACAAAAGCAATGTGATTACCACTATGCATAATCAATCAGTATTATCAGGATAGGTTAAGTGTAATCACAAATTGTTTTGAAAGCATAAAGGGTGTTTCAGTTTCCGTATAGACAAAGCTTCGATAAACATGAATATACGTCCTTAAAGGCTTTTATATAACACTACAAATGATGACTTGATATCTATTTTATGACCAGTCTCAATCAAATGTTTCATAGTGGAGGATGTCTGTCTATCCTGTGATCTTATTTGATCATCGGAATTCATTTGTTTCTGCAATCATTTTTGTATGTGTTCACCCACTCTTAATTGCAGATCACGATTGCTCATCCATATGTACGTGTTACTGCACGTACATGTAAATTGATAGACACAATGAGATGTGGTACAATCACTTACGTATTGTTTGAGTTTTTGGTGAGACATAGACTTTGTCTTTTTGATAATGATAAATTGAGTTTCATAAAATGTCCTGTTGATGGCTAATTTAAGTTTCTGTTTCAACATGAGACTATTTGAGTCGCTTCTAAATGGTAACATAATGTGAACTCTCTTTTTGTTTGCCAGAAGCGTCGTAGGTCTAATCGTATTGCAACTCTTCCAGCGGTTTATGAACTTCAATGAATAACCATTATTCATTAACGTATCTATCAGGAATTTCGTCTCTACTTCAATAGTATCGCTAGTACAAATAAGATTGATTCTATTAAATAAGCTCTTTATTAATCCATGTTTGTAATGAATTGAGCAGTAACTATGGAAATTAAGTACGTATTTATTCATAGTTGGATAAAGAATGCTGATGGGCAACCGATGTTGCTCCATGAGGGTTAACAAGCGTAAGTTAATTAATAACGTATATCTTATACAAAAACATTAATTTCATTTAATAACATCCAATTATCTTTTTTTTTAAATCTACACCTGGGTTTATTATTAATACTGATATCGAATATCAGGTCAAATGTTTATCATATCAACCTATACTATAATTTCTTACTATTTTTACATTGAATATTAACAGTTATATTTTAATAAGGATCTTGTGATGATTGTTATTAATTGTATATATATATATATATATTTCATTTATCTAATTATCAGTCCTAATTAACCATCTGTTTATCAGTATAATGAATACTTTATCTTTTCCTTATTTACTTTATTATAAAACTAGGAAAATAGATTCAAATGCTAGGTGAATATATGAAATTTCTTATCTAATTATAATTTCTTGAAAGAGCTTGGACTAGATTGCCAGAAGAAACATTGAATTGACTTCATATTGTTTCGTTGAGATTTTACAAATTTATTCTTCCTCTTTAATGTTATGTAATTAAAAAATTATTTTATTAATAAACATTTATCTTTTATAAATAATTTCATCATAATGATGATATCAATGGGTATATCATTGAAAATCTATGAGTTGAGAATTCTAAATCTAAATATATAATTCTGTTACAAGCTATAAACTAATGGTATTACATCTTACGAAAACGTTTTATTGTTGTTGAATGAAATTCCTTTATTTGTGTTGTCATAATGAACTTCTGCATTATAAATAGTATTATTTCGTTATATGAATGTTAACTATAAAACCGGCCCCTCCCCTCCAAATCCCAATCCTGAATACATAGCCATAATTGTGAATATTGTGAAGAATTTTCGAAATTAATTTAGGTCCTTATATTGAATTTGAAAAGCGGCTAAACAATATCTGTAAAGACGAATTTAAGTAGGTTTTTTTTCCAATTTAAGGTTAGAATAAACTATAGACTCGTTAAATTCATAAATTCTGCTTATCACTTACTTTGGCTCATCATAAACTATTCGCTCTTTAAAGCTGTTTTGGTTGGCTGATCATAAGTCAAAAATTAATTGCTGTAGTTTCAAGATCGTTTCTATACTATGTCATTGCTTTGTATTTAAGTATTAGTGTAATTGTAAGGTTAACAACTGAAACATGATCTTTTCCAATGCTGTACAATAATGTAAACTCAAAATATCAAAGATGTGAACACACTTTAAGTTCTTTACATTCTTTAGAACAGTTTAAGAATTTTCCATTTTCTTATACAATGAAGTAAATTGAAATAATATTTTTACATACTTAAAAATTACTTGAATATCCAACATGTATTCAGAAAGTTATAAAAACTTGAATATAAATTAATGGTATTATAGTGGCTCTCCTACAATTAATTTTGTCAGTGTTGTTCGAACATTAACAATTTGTCTACTACTTTGTATTATTATAGTTACTATCATGTTTGTATAAACGTGTATGCTTGATCATATGTGACAACCTACTCACATAATCCTCATTTTAACTTAGATGTTAATCGTTTGAATATCACTTGATGAATTATGTATACGTGCTTGAATCTTATTAATTGCCTTGTCTTGATTTGCTTCGCCTCGATTCGATTCAGTTCGACGCTGAATCCGCCTTTGTATTCACTGGCTCAGGCTTGTTATCCTCTTTGCTCGAAATTGCCCAAAGTGCTTGTAACTATGTTATCTGTGCTATTCAGTAATAAATTATAATCGCCACTTCACATTTAATTCTGAATTCATACACCGTTGGGATTTATTTAATAATAGTTATCAAGTTGATTGATAAACGAAGCCTAAGGAATTATCTTGGAGCCAATCTACTACAGTTCACTTAATTCTGATTTGAAGTGCCTCTTACAATAACAATAAAATTCAAATTAAGAAACAAGTTACAACTATATATTAGCCATGTTAGGGGTGATATCAAGTGGTTTAAAAACACATGAATATGAATAACAAAAGGGTAACCAAAGTTGTATAGAAAATAATTTGAAAAAAATTCGATGAATAAAACAACTCCATTACTTTTTAGATGATTCGATAACTATCTGTACTATTATAGACTTGTATATGCTAATCCAGTATAAAGACGATTGTATAGCTTTAGTAAATTACATCATAGGGGAGGAGTTTTGTTTTCATTCAAATGTTTGGAAATATTATGGTTGCATCAATTTTAAAATTTCATCAGGATTAGGGTTTAGATAAATATGATATAGGTGATCAGTGAATTTGCATATTTCAGCCCTTATGTAAGATCACTTTGAATAGTTCAATGGTTATATTTACGACTGTAAAGCTGAGCGATATGGATTGAAATCTATCGGGTATTATCATTTTCCCAAATACCACAGGTTTCTATTGATAGTAAGTGTCAACTAACGTGAAACATAAGTTTAAGGTTTCATGTCAACTGCCTTCGATTAAACAACATTGAAACTCCAGGACAGTGAAAACAACTAAAACATTATCATGATATCTGTGCCTAATGCAATACAGTTGACTGATTATTGAGGTGAATCAGGTTGTTCATTGTATTTAATTAAAAAGTCAAGAAACAAAACGTGAATCTTTCTATTTTCTGTATATTGACATGAACGTTTAAAGTCTGTTTCCAGTTTAGTATCGAGTGTATTGTCACTGGTGCCAGCTAAAATTTGTTTCAATCCTTGAGTTGAAAATCATTTTGTGTTTCAGGCATACTCTTTTAAATAAATATAAAACAAGTCGAGTTATAAGTGATATTGTATTAAATATGAGTTCTATAGTTCATAGACATTTCTACGTGAATTGATGAATGTACTTTGAAATAAAATAGCTCTCTAATTTTAATTTAAACGAAATAATTCATCTTTATTTCAATGTGATAATCGAAGTAATCAAGAACAATCGAACACACTTAAAGCTAGTAGAGATATACATGTTTATATAGATTTGTGATGATAATTTTGTCAAAATGTACCTTTTTACAGATTATATAAAGCGTATATCATGTATTTCTATGTAAATTACCTGTAGGATAATTATGTAACTACTTTTTTTTATCAATACTTAAGTGTTAGTAAACAAGATAGACCTAATAACTCACTTCAATTGATAACAAATATAAAATATATCAGTATTTTTTGGGGGGGGAGGGGTAATCACACTTCATAATCAGGAATAGAAGAAAAGAAAATTTCTATAGAAATGAGAAGATAACCTAATTAACTCGAAAAAAAAGATTAAAATGTAAGACGAAAGGTAGAAACAAATCTAGTTATTATTGGTTTTATAAATTTTTTGTAGATGTAGTTATTTAACAAGTTAACGTTAACTAGGAAAAAAATTGAAAAATTCTATGAAAAAAAACTACTGAATAGTTTGTCAGTTTTCGTTTAAACAAATTTAAGGAGTAGCTGTATGTAAAATTTAGCTTAAGAGCAATGTATCCCATTGTGGGAACAATACAATTGATTTCATGGGTGAAAATTTCAATGATCCATGCTCTTAACTTTAGTTGAGATGTGTAGTACATACCCCATTTAATATTTTTAATAAGTTTATATTACTATCATGTTGATTAACATAACGGCATTACGATAGAATAATGATGTTAGTCAAGACTTGTTTTATTTTTATTCGTTCACAAAATAATATCATTTTCAGCTGGAATGACTTTTGAAATTATTAAAACCTGACAAAATATTGAATATCTCATGAAATATTTATTATGATGACTGTTATCAATTTCATAGTTATTCTTCGTAATTTGAGGACCGAACTGTAAAAGTATACATTACCTTATTAAGAATAGATGGTAACAATCTAGATACTAGTTTGTAAACTAATTGATTTGCTTTTGTAAGTTTAGAACAGTTTATTTCACATTTAGTAACTGTGATATGAGACATTTTCATTGCATTTTAAAGATTATTTTAACTTCATTATTATTAGCTTCATGCAGATATACAAATTGTAAATAGATGTTTATTATGAAGTGGTAATATTAAATTAATATAAGACACCTCCATAAATTTAGGTAGATATTTAATATTTCACCATGAAAAATAATAGGATTACAAATAATGAACTGTGACATATGCCGTTCACTCATTTAGTGAGCTGATCATCTTTTAGAGGTGTTTTTAAGTGTTGAAAATAAACTCAATAACACAACAAACTGTATATAATGTTGTGGGGTTGAAAAAAATCAGGGAAAACAGTATGTGAGATAGACTTCTATTATCCTCAGTACTGACTTGCGAGATACATTTGTTATGAATTTATCACTAATCAGTTAATCAGTATAGTATCTGTCATTTCACAGATATAATAGCAAATATCCCCAACAGTAGTATATATTGGTAGAGTTTGTTAAGACTTTTAATGCTGAAATTAATTTTTATCAAGAACTAGAACAAGTTAGGTAACCACCATCGTAAAGATTTTCAAGAGGATAAATCATCTAATCCATGCTTTTTAATTGTTACCCATTTATTGTAGGTTCATTAAAAAAAAATGAACTCAAAGTAGATCATTTACTACCAATAAATGCTGGGAAAACAATTTTTTCTACAGAAAAATTGTGTTATTAAAAAGTAATCGTTTATTGTATTTTAATTTATTTCATTTTAATACATGAGTTTTAGTTCTAAACTGATTACTCACAAAATATAATAATGATAATAATAATATAACTAGTTACACACCGTGAGGATGCAGTTTATTCAACTAATGGTTCAGTTTTCAAATCTCCCTACTCTTGACATTTTTTTCTCGTGTATACTATCTACTGATTATTGAATATGTGGTTCCATCGAATACTGATATTTTAATGTTAATTCTATACTACGTTTTTTACAGGTTTGTTTTTACAAAACTTTTGTGGCTTTATTCATCTTTAAGTGTTTAAATTACCTTAGTCTTTTTGCATGAAATAACAATGTTTTATGTTGTTTAGGTAAATATTTGTAAGTAAGAATTTGTGCTTACACTTAACCTACCCTGGTAATAATGATTTTTTATGCATAGTGGTGAAGATGTCATAGGTATTCGAAGTTTGATAACGCTTTAACCAGTAACACCGTCTAATATGAATCGTACCCACCAAGTGAAATCAAAAGACCGAAGCGAGGAGATTCGAAGATGTATTTGATAGGCTATCGATATATCGAGGGTCGTCTGATCTAATCTGGCTAGCGGTTGCAGGGCGTTGTTGAGCACGGCGTTCCCACTCGTGATCTGGTGCAGATGCATGACCAAGCGTCTTCAGCTAGGTGAGTCCATTAAAATTAATATGGTCAGCATCCAATGTCGAAAACTTACAGAGCTATTTATTTTTGGGATTTATTTACCGCTACAATGGTAATCACATTGCTTTTGTGTACTTTAATATTATTATTTTTCTTGTTACAGTTTGTCTTTAATTCGTCGTGTTGACTTCTTAATTTTCATATAAAATTGTCTTGACAAGTATATATGAGTGATCAGATTGTTCGAACTGTATTACGCAAATATATATGACATAATCCTGATAATCTTGGTCTTCTCATTGTATTATCGAAACAGATACTGGATTATGTTGTTATTCATCAGAATGATGATAATAGTTTAGTGATAATATTAAAATACACTTTAAATGAAGTCTACTTACCTTATCTCTAAGTGACTCAGTAAATGTAGGCGGTGTTCCAGTACAGTTAATTAATATTGCCCCAAGTACAAGATTATCATAAGCAATCTGAAGAAAAGTAAAAATCAACAAACAAATGAATAAAAATGAGAACGAAGAGAAACAAATACTTGATAAGACAAAAGTACAATTTTACTATTTATTTTCTGAAGAGGCAATTTATACTAAGCCACGAAACATCAGATTATATATTATAAATATATTACTGTTATTTTATTCAGATAAAAAAAATTATCGAAAGCCAAAATTAATTTGGATTATAAAGTTGAACTTCGATAGTGGTGTTAAGAATCAAATAAATATTTAGCACAAATATAATATATGCATGTAATGAAAACAGCATATTTTAATATCTAGTTTTAATAAACAGTACATTGATATATACATAAGTATATATGTATATGAGACTCCTCATGAGTGCTTTACAAACACCCTACCATAGGTAATCAAACAAAGTACCTACAGTCTTGTGGTGAGAGATTAACTTTTAAAGAACGGTGTGCACCTAATGCCGATCAGCTTTCAGTATTGGGGCACATCTTCCATTGCCTCCAATGGATAACTATCTCACATATGGTTTGAATTAGCTCCACTGGTCACGGCTTCTCATTAAAACTTCTGGAATCACCCTCTAAAGTTGGTCACTGATGAAGATATGTTTACTGTTAGCATTTAGGCCTTGTATTTATTATCGAATTTTCATTGTTTATATGATGGACTTATCTTAGTTAGACAACCACTGAAAGCCATGAAGCAATAGGCGGCTGTTTTGTTCTAGAATGGGATAGTGAACTGATGAAAGGGTAGACTTGTAAGCAGAATTACCATTGAATCTATTCGGTTAAGCAATGTTTCATGTTTTTAATATTCTGTTAAAATGTTGCTCAGTATCATATAAAAATTACCCTTCATCTATTATTCAAAATTAATTAAATAAATAAATTCTTTCCATTTATTCATTGAAGTTTGATAATTAGTGTGTAGAATATTCCACTAATGTTGGGTAAGATCTCAGAAGACATTTTATTTTTTTTAAATGTTGTAGTCATTCATTCAGTTAGAGTATCTTAGTCCCCACAAAATTTAAAATTAGTTCAAGATAAGTTACAGTAAGCGAAGAGAACGAACATAGTTTTCTCATTCACAAATCAGAATCCTACATACAGAGGAAATACATTTAGCCACTTCTGTTATCGTAGCCAACATCAGATCCATTAGGTCAATAATGATCGTGATGATAAAATGAATTAGTTTGACTAATATACATATAGCCTTCCCCTTATTGTATTTTCATAACTAAGGTTCATTTTATTCAAGTATAATCGTGAGTAATATTCTACATATATCTTTGCATTGTTATTATTAAAGTTAACATTATTCTTTTGAAAACAGGAGTACTTTGGTTGCCATTCTCCCTCCCCAGTAACGTTTTATTATGTTTTATTGAATTCATTTCACTTCATAAATTATGGAGTCCTTGGGAGAACATTTAATCTGAGTTGCAATTACACTATTATTTTTTGCATGTTTTGATGGCTATATTTATTCAAATTTTTAATCTAGCATTTTCAATCAATTTGTAAACTTATTCAAGTTATTTTAATGGTTGAATTCATCAGTCACTTTAAGCTAGACCACCATTGAAAACTTGAAAGCACTGGAAAATCGTTTCGTCCTAGTATGGGATTCCTCCGCAGCACGCATTTACGATCCTGCATGCCAAAATCGAACACGAATATTAGACATTTCAATGTTACAAATTAATTTAGGTTTGTAATTGTAGGACTCGGTGAGAATTCGCTAAAAAATATATTTTCCACCCAGTTTAAATTTAGTTAGTCTTTGAATGACAATTTTTAAACAAACTTCACCCTGGATTTCATCGTTTTTGTTTTTTTTAATTGGTGTATTATATAATATAAAATTATTTCGTGAGTCATTAAATCGACACTCAGTGCTATAGAATTGACGAACTGCTCCCTTGAGTAATCCTACTAACAAAATATTTTCAGCGTTTATTATTCATTGGCGAATTATTATGCAGTGAACAAGAACACGAATAAAAAATTACAGAGCATCTCAATAAAATCTGAGAATCATATAATAAATCGTTAATTTGCAAAATATCAATCCATCATATCAACCATGACTGTTCCTGTTGCAAATATCAGTCCATTGTCTCACATTTCACAGTTTATCCATTTTCATATCAATTGCGTTCCGTTCTCGTTCTTTCCTTATCGATCTTCTACTGAAATACTTTTTATGTCTGACCACCGTGATATACTACTTACGTGGATATAAGTAACCCACACTATAATTATACAATATTCATTGTTAAATGAAAAATAAACGATTGATTTTTTTAGACAAGAAATAAAACTTTCCATTCAATTCTCGAACTTATTCATTACAATAATGATCAATGATTTGACCAATTATAACAATCAGTAACTATAACAATGGTTACTTTACAAATGGAAGATGTTTTATCTTCATAAAAAAGCTGCTTTTTTTTAATTTTGTGGGTTATATGAGTTCGTTGTATACCTTTTAAGGGATTGGTTTTTTTCTCTCGTCGTTATCTATAATGTGAATCTATAGAACAAAACGACTTGAACACTATTTCATATAAATAAATGACACGAATTATTATCCGGAAAATTTGAACATCTATTGGATTAATAACAAAATCTAAATTGGTAGAATTATTATCAAATCGATTTTCAGTGATCCTTGATTCACTATTTATCAGTGTTACCATAAATTTTTAAATATAAAACAGTCGCAGATTCGTCTATTCTTTATTTAACTGTACATTTTGAGCTTCAGTATTTCTTCATACATAATTTTTCTTCAAACCGTTTTGAATCATATACTTAATGTTTAGTCTTTTCCTTATCATTACTACTACAATAGTTCGATTCCTCTGAAATTCACCATATTCATTTTATTTCATCGTGTTAATTTGGAATGGAAACTTGAACTAATGCACATTTATTGAATGCTCTACTTTGGTTTTAAGAGAATGAAGTGAATTATTAAATTATAAAGAGGTATTCAATCACTGATGTAGAATTATTTTATTGAATACCTGGATGTGAACGAGAAATTATTGAACACATTTTATTGATTTCAAAGGAAACTTCATAAAATAATTCGACAAAAAATTCATCTGACCAAATATCATTTAGATTGATTACAATATTTAAAGCAATTGGCCCCTTTGATTGATTTCGATAATGTAATAAGAAGACGAAGATAATCAGGACTATGATAATCTTCGTCTTCTTATTACATTATCGAAGTCGATCACAATGTATTTGTTTGACACATACACGTTTTGGTTCGACAGGAATGTTTGAAGTTAAGAAGAAATTCATATTGACTGTTAAATAAAGTCTTTTTATTAAAATTACTGTAAACTCTTCTGCACATAACTCCATGGAATTATTTATGTAATGTAACCAAGTTAATTTAGTGATAAACAAAGAGGATATGAACTGATAATATGCAAGTCGAAAACTAATATGATTTCTATCCTACTCTCAAAATCTTATATCCTACTGAGTCATGGAATATTACAAGACAAAGTTTAACCAGTAACTATAAGGAATATACTTTATGGAAAAATATTACCGTTTTATTGATAGATTCTCTTTGAAGTGCTTATAAGCTAAACTCAAGTAATTCCTACTTGAATAAATATCAGACTAAATGAATACACAATATATTTTACCAGTCTACAATCGAGCGATTACCATATAGGAATTAATCCATTAACTAAATCCTAATCGTTTTCCAAATAATATAATTATTTAGGATTATTGTTAAAAATGGCATACAGAAATTTTATATAAGTAGTCAGTTATAATACTTATAGAGTTTAGTGGAGCATAATGTATAGATTGAAGAAAACTGTTTGAATTTTTATTCTATTATGATTACATTGTATTATTATTAATAATCGCTTTGTTTAATGTTATAATTTTGGTATAATATGGAATTCTCAGCACAAAATATTTCAACAAGATTTTTACAAAAAAAAGAAACCAGTAAAAGAAACTGATAACTGAATACATATACACATAATCGGGCCTAAAGGAGAGGCCATAGTTATCCCGTCTATTTGTCTATACTAAGTATTGTTGAAGACGAAATGGACATTCAGTGTACATCTTAAGAACAGTTCCTTTAGACTATCTTCAGGTTAGTCGTTAGTTGATAGCTGCCAACAATACAAGAATAGTAAGGGGGCCACAAATCAATCACTAACCAAGCGGCACCAAGACTCTTTAACGAAACTAAACAAAGATGAAACCTTGCTCATAAGCAAACCAGATAAAGGAGGGGGTAAAGTTCTGATGCACAAGAAGGATTACATTGAAAAAATGGAAGCAATGCTTAGTGATCCTAGCAAATTTCAAAATGTTACCAGTAACTTTGACATCAATAATAAAGTAAAAAAACAATTGGCTAATTATTTTAAGAATCTAAAGAAAATAATAATAATCACGACAAAGATTCATTATTCAACTAAGCTGACTGGATCATATACACCATGACTGTACGGTCTGCCTAAAGTTCATAAATCGGGTCTTCCTCTACGCCCAGTTCTAGATATGTAAAATTCTCCTTACCAAAAAATTGTAAAAGACATATATACTTAAGTTAAGCAGATAGACTACCTGGAATTAAATGTTAAGTTTCTTAGGACTTGAATCTGTACAACTTTTTAATCAGAAACATGTTTGAGAGTAAAAATTACTGACTAGGTAAGCTCTAACAACTTTTTCGACACATAGTATATTTACTTGACAACGTGTTGAAGAGCTATTATATTTTGCTTGCGTGCCTGCATTCTAATGTACTGACATCTGGTTCTACCAGAATATATATAAGAAGAAGGAACTAGATAAAATGGATGGTTAATATCTGATAACACCTGTCGGGATTTTGTAAGGTTTTAGATGTCTATTCAAGACCATATTAATAATGAGCTTAAAGGATTTACCATACACCATGATAACTGCCTTCGGTACTCTCCA